ACAGTGTGTGTCTTCCTAGAGTGTTGCTTCTTTAAGCCTCATTTTAATTAAAGAGAATAGAAGATTCTAGAGAAGGTCCAATGAATCTACTTTAGAGACTATTTTCATTTTAAATTACATATTTAATAATTTCTTGATTGCTCTTCACCCTGTACTTTATACGTAAGGAGTGTACAGTTTTGGCTTTTGTTCTTTGTGCTGCATCTTTATACCCATCACCGAGTCCATCAATTTATCAACAGTGATGAATATGCGGTTATACCTCATCAAATGTGCAAACATAAATCAGCTTGTAAATAATCACTGGGTGGTTGGGAGTGTGTCCTAGGGGTGAGAGGAGTATCTTCACACCTTAAGCCTGCTCCAGGCTACACCCCTGTTTCTGATTGGACAGGGGAAAGGGTGAGACGGACTGGAGGATTACTCCGTGAGGAGTGGGGAGAGTCCTAGCAGCCTGCTGCAGACATTTACTGGGAAGAATGTCAGAGAGAGCAAGCACCAGCCCTGGACAGCACCTGGGGAATGCTCAGACACTGTGCGGCTCAAGCTACTGAAGTACAGAAATGTATTCTCTCACCCTTAAGGACTACAAGTTTAATATCTAGGTGTTGTCAGGGTTGGTTCTTTAGAGACCTGTCTTCTTGGCTTTCGATGGCTCCCTTTGCTTTGATGTAGCTTTCTCTTCGGTATTTGTGTACTGATCCCTTTCTTAAATAAATACCAATTATTGGTGACTTAGGCTTCATTAACATGTGTGTGTGTGTGTGTGTGTGTGTGTGTGTGTGTGCGTGCGTGTGTGGTATGTGTATGTATGCTGTGCGTACTATGTGTGGTGGTGTATGTGTGTGTGGCGTGTGTAGGGTATTGTGTGTGTGTATGTTTATATATGTATGTGTGTGTATCTGTAGGTTAGAGAGGTTGCTACCAGTGTTTCCTTGGTTATTATTTTCCTCTTCATTTTCCACAGGAAAGTCGTTTGCTAACAGATTTGGCCAGCCTAGCTACCCAGTTTGCCTCAGGGATCCTGTCTCTGCCTTTTCAGAACTGGGATTATTGGCAGGCTACCATGCCAGCTCAGCTCTTTCCTGGGTGCTGGGGATCTGAACTCCGGTCCTCACACTTGCATGCTAAGCACTTGATCCATAGCCATCTCCCAGCTCTGACCACATTAAATTTAATTACCTCTTTACAGGCCCAGTCTTCCAAACCAGCAGTACAGTCATTTTCTGAGGTACTGGAGAGTAACAGCATAGGAGTTTGGGGGGAGGGGCAACACACTCAGCTCCTAACTTACATCCAGACCAACTGAGACCTCCAAATGTTAATCCCACAGGCAAAACAGTAGGGTGGGGATCTTGTCAAGCAAGTGTGATTACAGAAATAAAGCAGTTAGGAAAGCACTCCTTGAACAGTGGGTACAGAACATTCTTCTCTCTCTCTCTCTCTCTCTCTCTCTCTCTCTCTTTCTTGCTATCCTCTCACCATGTCTCCTGTAATGAAGGAATGGCGGTGAGTTCTTGTCATCCACCATTAAGGTATCGTCACAGATAGCTTCATAACATCTGCTTCGTGCAACCGTCTAACTAACCATAAAAGTCTGGCAGAGGAGCTGACAGTTTGTCAGAACATGGAATGTGGATGCGAAGCAGGGCATTCGGCTTATGCGTGGAGAAGGATGGCGTAGTACTGGGTGCCCTTTGCCCTCTTCTTTTGGGTGTGGCTATGTCTTCTGTTCAGGGCAAGATTAGGTCCATATCTTCTCAGTAATGACTAATACTGAGATGCATCTTTTGACAACAGAAATGTGGGTCAGGAGTATACTACATTCTAGCTGAGAGTCTGCTGTTAGTGCCTGCCCTGCAGTGCCCTCAGAACCCATCAGGATGTGGTTCCCCTCCTCCCCCACTGAGATCCCCAAGTCCTGATGAGAAAACCGAGGGCCTCTTGACTGGGGCAGATGTTTGCCATTAGCTAGGTCATCTCATAGGCTCCTATGGTGTGTTTGTCACTGATGACATTTTTGTCCACCATCCTGCCTGGCTTCCTGAGCTGTGGTCTCAGTACTTCTGGGGAGTACATCTTCTTGCTTTTCATTCTCTGTATGTAGCTGTCGACCTAGTGTGTTTTAACTTGTGGTCACAGTATGTCTTCCTTCTTTGTACCTGTACTTCCCACAAGTATCGGGATCTACTGAAGACTCTGAACTATGGTTTTGGCTCCACAGATGCCTCGTGGACATGTTGGAATAGGGCTGCTTGCTTGTTTCTCAGCCACCCAAACTCCCATAATAATTACACAGAAACTGTATTTATTAAATCACTGCTTGGCCTTTTAGCTCTAACTTCTTATTATCTAATCTTACATCTTAATTTAACCCATCTCCATTAATCTGTGCATCACCGCGAGGTTGCGGTGTACCAGCAAAGTTTCAGCGCATCTGTCTCCGGTGGTGGCTCCATGGCTTCTCACTGACTCTCCCTCCTTTCTCCCAGCATTCAGTTTAGTTTTCCCCACCTACCTAAGTTCTGCCCTATCACGGGATCAGGACAGTTCCTTTATTAATCATTGATATTCACAGCATACAGAGGAGGAACCCCACACCATGGACATTTGGCTGGGGACCTCTATCCCACTGAGGCCTGGTACTTGGCATTTTGCGATCTCTGGGACATAATCTCACAACCTTGTTTCAGGTCCCCTGGTGCTGGGTCTCCTTCCTTTCCTTGCATCACAGGAAGAAGTAAATACTCCTCTACCACCCACACAGGGTCAGTGGATCGGCCCTGTAAATGGGAATGATAAAAGGCAAATAATCAGGAGGAAAAAAACAGATCCATGAAATGGGTCCACATTGGAGTTCACTGAAGGAACACATGACTAGGGCAGAAATTAGATCCCAGTTCTGTGGTTATCCTCTTAACAGAGGGTGCTGAAGTGTAGGGAAGACCAGGTGAAGGCATTGCTTCCCAGGGTTTGAGCTTCCTGCAGTGGGAAGCTTTACAGGAGGTCATGAGCATGCCTGTGATTAGTAAATGCTATTCCCTAAGCTTCCTTTGCACACAAGGGGCCATCTTGGCTGAAAGGTATCTCAGGAATGACCCTCTTTCTGGGACAGGAGTTTACAAATGGAAATCTCTCTTGACTTAGAAAGAGAAACCTAGGTCCAGTTTTTAGAAAATTGTAGGGAAGGAAAGAGCTGCTCCCACTCCTGTTCTTTCTTAGGTGCCTTCAGCTCAAAATGACCCCTCAGCCAGATTGGCCCATGTAGGGTGATGCATTGGTGTCTTCCACTGCTCTGAGAGAAGAGGGGATGCGAACTAGCTTTAAGTCTTCAAAACTTTTAAGAATTACATTTATTTAATTTATTTGCATGCACATGAGGAGACCAGAGAACAACTTTCAGCCATGTGCGGCCATGTCAGGTCACCAGGCTTGGTGGCATATGCTTCTACCCTCAGCCATCTCCCTGACCCTGGCTGAGGGGCATCAGTTGGGAGCTTGTTAAAATGCTGGTCCCCAGGCCCATCCTGCTTCTTCTGAGTCAGAGTCTGCATTCTCTAAGATGCTGAAGTATGTGGTTCAAACTCAGCTTTTGGGTGGCAATTGTGTAGGGAAGTTGCTGCCGTCGCAGGCACAGGTTTGACTTGGAACAGAAGTCCGTATCTAATTGCGATAGATAAAGCAACTTGGGTTAAAGCCAGGCCTTCCGGAGGACAAAGGGAAGCCGTGTGGGCACCTGAGGTGAGGCCATTAGCCGTTGGATTATAACACAATGTGCTGTAATGGAGCAGTAATGAAATGCAATTGATACAATTCTGCTATAAAGGGGGCACTGTCTTCATTCAAACATCCATCCTTCATCATAGACAGTGCCACGCAGTCAGGAGATGGAGGAGGAGTTCTGCTGTAAAGGCTTTAATTCGTCTTTGGTCTGCTCCTTTTTGTTCTTCAGGTGCGTACGTCCTAGTACTGAGCTCTTACTAGCCTCAGCTTTTACTTATGGTGCTGGATGAGAGATTCAAGGAATGGGAAACCCAGTGCTGTTCTGCCAGCACCTCCGAGAGGTTTGGGGCAAGCGATAGCTGGGACCTGAACTCCTGCTGCCAGAGCCGCCAACCACTGGGCATCTTCTTAAAGGATGTCTCTTCAGTGAAGCTGATCCTCTGTTACAGATCTGCTGAGCACACTGCTAATTGGGAGGAACAGGTTTAATATAATAGCTTCACACAGGAATTCACTGAACAAACACACACATGATGCAGGTAGGAGATTAGATTCTAGGCCCTATATACTATCTTAACAAAAAATGCTGACGTGAGAACACCCTCAGCATCCCTCAGCATCAGCACTACCAAGCATCAGTATCCCTCAGCATCAGCACCCCTCAGCATCAGCACCACCTAGCACTAGTACTCCTCAGCATCAGCACCCCTCAGCACCCCTCAGCATCGGCACCACCAAGCATCAGTACCCCTCAGCATCAGTACCATCTAGCATCAGCACCCCTTAGCGCATCAGCCCCATGCTCCCCTGATGTTTCAGTTGATATCTTTTACTCCATCATTTTGATTATTTTGCTTTTCTTGTGTGTTTAGAACTTATATGGATGTTTGTCTTTGTTTAGAATGTTGATTACAAGTCATTCTGAATAATGATTAAGAAAACTTTATTTTTAAAAATACTTATTTATTTTATGTATGTGAATATTTTACCTGTGTGTGCACGTGCGTGTGTGCGTGCATCATATAAATGCTTGATTCTTGTGGAAGTCAAAAGAGGGCATTGCATCCCCAGGAAATGAAGCTATAGATGGCTGTGAGCTGCCATGTCAGTGCTGGGAACCAAACCCAGGTCCTCTGCAAGAGCATTAAGTGCTGAGTCATCTCTCTGGCCTCCTGCAAAGCTTCTGTTTTCTCAGTATTTTTACTTGTTCCCAAAGAAATGGTAAAAAAAAAAAAATTGAATTAGCACTCACCCTGCAATGACAGTTAATTGTTTTATTTGTATAATGCTTCTTTTGGAAAAAGAAAAACTTTAGAAAAGCCCTCAAACCTTGTACCGTAGGATACACACCGAATGAGATGCCTGAAAGGAAAGGCGAGGGGAAGGGGAGGGAGATAACGGTTGCAGATGCCAAGGGTGATGGGAATCTTGACTAAACACATAGTAAATCTAGTGCTGGTGTCATGTGAACTTTTTTCTGGGGATATGTGGAAAAAAAAGAAGCAGTGTGTTTACCCTAGATAGGGCACCAGTGACTGAAATCCAGAAATGATTCTACCCAGGTGCAGCATGGTGACTAGTGAGTTTAACTGGTAGTATTTACCTGTCTATACATTCTTGAGCCCCTAACTCTAGCAACCATTAAGTATCTATAATTCTTAATGAAAGTTAATGCACCCAGTTGTGTGTGGTTTCTGTCGGTCAGATAATCACAGGCGCTGATAGTTCAGGGGAGCAGTGGACACAGCAGTTGGCTTCCCAGTGGAGCACCTCTGGTTACCTGTTCCAGAAAGGAGAGAGGGGTGAGACCAACCTGTCAAAGGATTTTTGCTTGATACTGAGATGAAAATAATGGATAAAGTTCTTGAATACACAGACTCTCCAGACATTTGCTAGCTCATCTGTGTGTGCTATCCTCAATGTCGACTTTCCGGCATGATTAAATGCTGGAAAAAAATCAGCGTCAAATAGGGAAAGATTTATTTTGGTTTATGGTCTCAGAGGCTTTCACTCCATTGTCATTTGGCTTCATTGTTCTGTAGGTTGTAATGAGGAGAACCTCATGGTGAGGATGGTGTGGTAGGGGAAAGCCACTTACTTTAGAGGGGCTGGGAAATAGAGAAATGGATAGCAAGGTCTGGCCTCTGGTTATCCAAACTTCTGCTATTAGGCCTCACACTGAGAAGTTCTGGTATCTCTCAACAGGCCAGAGGCTGAGGCCCCACCCTATGCACTGGCTTGGCAGGGGACACACTCCATATCCAAACCCAGCATGAGGTGAGGGATGGAGCAATGGTCCCAGTGTCAACTCTGGAACAGAGAGTCTAGGCTTGACTCCCAGTTCTACTGTTTACAAGCCTTGTGTCTTCAGGCCAGTCCCTCACCCTCTGTCACCAGTAAACCTGAAATGTCAATTGTGTCTGCTAATAGCTGGGGGCATTAAATTATGCTATAGACACGAAGCCCGCAGTGTTTGACTCTTCACGAGCCCTTGACATTATTGTCGTTATTCCTACTTGACAGATAAGGAAATTGGGTCTCAAAGAGGTTAAGTGGCTGGCCTGGAGTCTGGTGGCCAGATCAAATTGGCACCAGATCTAATCTGACCTCTCTTAACCACTCACACGCTGACTCAGAAGCTCTGGGCTGCTCGCTAGCAAGCGCTGGGTGTAGCATTCTCCCCTGTGAATTCCCCTGGCAGGGGCCCCTCCCAGGTCTTTAGCTTGGTGAGTCCTTTGGGCAGGCATCTACTTTCAACAGAAAAATGAGGCAATGTAATTGAACACAGCCAAAATTGAAGTCACTTTCTGCCAAAGGTCTTCTTTGGCGTTGCTTTCAAGCAGGGTGTGCAGGCACCTGTCTATGCTAATTCCCTCATCTCAGAGGGGTCACCATCATGTAATTCCCCTACTTCCCACCAGGTGTCCCACCCTTCCTTAGGAAAGGCAGACTCGGAGGTGTGGGATGTAGGGAGGATAGAGGGGGAGGGGTGCAGGGGGTGTGTGAAGAGTCTTCCAGATGCTACTTCTTATCTCTAGACAAAAGGAACTGTTCGCCTTGTTCTTCTTTGATGCGTAGTCGGATCTCTCCAGAAAGCCTAGAGAAGTCACCACAATTCAGGAAGCTTCTATTTCTGTTAAGGAATTAGTGTCTGTCTGACCAGTCCCTTTCATCTCTGAGCTGGAGTCTGCAATCTCCAGGCACAGCATTCTTCTTCGGAGCCCTCACAGCTTCCCCTCCCTCCTCAAACTCTCCTTTCAGGCTCTGATTAAAAACAAGACAAGAAGTCCTGGTCCCACCTGCCCTCAATATTCTTTGAATCAAGGAAGGTCAAAGACCAGTATGTGACGGCGGCACTAACTAGCGTTCCTGCAGACATTAACCTAATTCATCCTCATTTTTCATGTTAGTATGGCAGAAATACTTCCCCGTTCTGAAGTAAGACTATCACACGCATCTCCTGCAGGCAGCAAAGGGCAAATTTAGACAAACTGAAAAAACTGTCGTGGCAGGGACATTCGCAGTTCTAAAAGTCCTGCTTGTCCCAGGCAGGTGACTCCTACCTGTCCTTGGCCCGCCTGGCACCCTTCCTTTTAGAAGATCCTGCTCACCTTGGAGAGGCAGGAGGAAAGTGCCAGGGTCTTTGTCTCGGGTATGACCATCTATCCTGGAGCTCTCTGGAGCTCCTCTAGCCTCGTGGTGGACAATGGACACCTCCTATGATTTGAACTACATGGCTGCAGTCTTGCAAGCTGGCAGGTTGTTCCTCACCTGGAGATCTGCTGAGGGTGTGGTGGGTTATCGTCATTTAAGGTCAGCTTCAGAAATGGCAGCATGAGCTGTTTCCCCACCGATGACCCTAATTCCAGAACACAGTGCTAAAGGAGTCCCTAGCTTCTGCGTCCTGCACCTCATTATATGTATAGCTTTTAATATTCGGAGACTTTTTGCCAATACACATTTTCATGTGTACTGGGAACTCAGAGCCCAGACACAATGTATTATTGATAGGATCGTAATTTACTTCTCTTGGGTTGTATCTACAGTGTATACCATTAGCACAAAATATTAAATTACCAGTGGTTGTATATATTTGTCTACTTGGTTTTGGCTCAATGATATTTGTTTTTCTCTTCAATAAAAGACTGTGAATACAGAAAGCGGGTAATATTATTTTTTGTTGCTGTTGCAAGGGTATTTTTGATTAAACTATTTCCTCAACACTATGTTTGTGCTAAACCATACTTTGCAGCCAGGACAGGAAATACAGAAGACAGGGGGCTCAAAGGGGAAGATGGATGGGCAGTTCTTGGTAGCTCTCGGCTCACACACTTTCTGTTACAGGCTACTGTGGCCAAGCACAGGGACTTTAGTTTCGGTATGAGGGACCAGCAATCTGTACTGCCAGAGGGAGGACGTGGACCGTTCAGACTTCATTGCCAGATATGTGAGGGCTCAGTCTCGCTGGAGGTGGATTCAGGGTGTGGGGCAGAAAGAGCCCTTGGTTACAGCCTCATTCACTAGATTGTAGACTTCTCTTCTGTAATCATTATTAGCCACTCTGGTCCTTGTCCCTCCTGAGCTGGGTTACACAGAAACACACAACTGTGTTTCGTTCTTTAGAAAAGAACTCAGGCTGTGGACTTCAAGCGGCCCACCATGGAAATATATCGTGTCTGTCTGGTGCTTTCTTATAGCCTTTGGATTTCTTGCTGAGACCAGAACAGAAGGCATTTGGCAGTTAGCTAGCACAATACCCAGACTGCCATGGTCCCCCCAGTCAATCCACTACATAATTTTTATGAGTAAACAGGTTTCCTTTTGAAAATCCCTGTGACTTGGTCTTCTCACCCCTTTGTGGGATTTAGTATAGTGTCGGTGGTGGGCTGAGTTTGACATTCATAACTAGAAAAGGGTAAGATGTTTAAGGTAAATGCTTTTTCCTCTGGCTCAGTATGAGGAACTCATGATTCTGCTGGGGTAGATGGCCTGGGGAGATGAAGAGGCCACTGGGGGCCATTCAGGGCACAGGGTCTTGGTTACCAAAGTGGCCTTTACACTCAGTTACTAAGAGAAGAGACAGCTATGGGCTCTGTCGAGCCTGGCCACACAGGGCTCCTTTCACATAGGTGAAAGCTGGATTTCCTTTGGTGGATTTTGTGTAGGGTCTGCCTTTTTAGCCAGGTGGCTCCTCAAGCAGACCCCTCCATTGAAGAAAGGGCAATTTCATAGAGAACTTCTCTGGGCAGGTCCTTCATACTAAGTGGACTTCCTCTGGATGTATGCCCCACCCCACCCCCAATCCTATATGTCCTTCCGTGAAGGAGAGATGTGCTGTTTAAAACAAAAAAACAAAAGCACAAAATACCAGTCACTCAAGGTGCACAGTCAATGAAATGAGTGCCGAATCTATCAAAGCAAATCATAAACCCTGACAGCCAGGGTGTTTGTCCCCATCACATCCCAGACTTCTACACAGTCTCATGTCTTAAGCACACGTTCTGGTGCGGAGGGACCCATGGAAAGGCAATTACACTTGGTGAGTGATTAAAGTTGCATCTGGCAGCTTTATGTGTCAAATATGTTTAAATGCATTAACCTTTACAGAATTTACACTGCGTGCTGAGTTATAGCGTGCAGTGTCAGAGAGATCAGATCTGCCTTCTTTTAACTCTTATTTACATTTATTTTATTATGATATAAATAGGCTTAAATAATCTTAATGGGGGTTCGTTCCCCAATTCTGCAGGTCTTGTTGGCATTGTGGGAGTCTTTGGGCAATAAGGTCCCTGGCTGGTTGCAAATGATGCCCCAGCTATGTCCCTGAAGTCCCTGGGGAGAGAGGGAGTCTGGGAGTCAGGGCCTCCTTGAGTTCCTATCTGAGATTTAATCACATGGGGAACAGGCTCAGGAGATTGACAGCACAGGGCAGTCAGGAAGGCTCCTCAGCAGACAGGCAACTTTTAAGTTGCAGAAAACACACATTCCTGAAGCATCAGTTTTAGGAAGAAAGGCCACACAGCTCGCATCAGCAGCGTCTTCTTGTCTGCGGCTGTCAGCCCTCTCCAAGAGGACGCACGCGGCAGATGCCTTCAGCGAAGTGATCGCATTTTTCGTAGAATGCCTCTGCTCTGATTCCGTCCTCTGGTTCACCGCCGGCAGCTCCATGCCTCTTGGGCTTCACTCCACTGAAATCTGGTTGGCATCAGACAGACTCCGGTGGAATGAAGGACAAGAGGATCCATGGATTGTCTGGGGCTGTTTGTCTACCAGGCCTCCTCTTGTCATGCTGTGTGTGGCCCGGATAATACCTTCAGGCTCCTGCAACCGCACTCCTAGAGGATGGTGAGGACCTGAATATCCAACCCACCCCTTAAGTATCTCACTGCAGAGCTTGATCGTGGTGGGGGATACAGCTCGTGCTGCGGGGTTACCCTCTTTGTATCCCTAGTTAGGATGCTGGCTGTCCTTTTTGATGTGTAGACCATACCAGAGCGGGGTATGTTTGGTGATGTCCAGAGAAGACATATAGTCTGCCTTTGCTTACCAAGGGGCAGAACGCAGGGGCACAGGTATTCCAGAAAAGCCACCATGTGAGGGCACGAGGTCTGTGTGCCAATGTGAAATCAAGATAAACTAAGGAGGAGCTGAGGGAGGATAAGGATTCTGCTGGAGCTGGCTCGTTTATGGGCGCGGGTGGATGGTGGAAAGAAGAATTCTTGGTTCTCTTCCCGTAGACTTGTCTTGGAAAGCCAGCCTGCGACAGTCATACATCTCTCCCCAGGTCTGCACACAATCAGTGAGCCTAGGGTCAGGGTCAGGAGAGGGAGGCGGGCATACAGCTAGCTGGCTTTCAAAGACCGAGCTACACCAGGAGGCCATGTAGTACCTGTGGACTTTCTGCCCCTGCCCACCAAGCAGGAAATTCACAGGGACTGCACTAGCCTACAGGGAGTGCACTGGCCTCCTCTGTGCTGTGTTCAGACTCGTCTGCATTCAGTATAAGCCTCATAAAAGGCTGGTCTAAGCAGAGACCTGCAGACTGGGTGGGTGGGGCAGATCTGCCTTGTTTGGAATACTTTCTTGTTCCTGGGCCTGTTCTGACCTGACAAAGAGGCTCCACCTCTCAGCCCCCAGGGCTTCAGGCCTCTGAGATAGGCTCTCACACAAAAGCAGGGGTTTCTAGCTATGGACAGGGAGAATCCCACTTTTCTAGGTCCAAACTAGGGTGTGCACAGGGCTCACTAGAAGGCCGGATGCTGTGTGGTGAGGGCAAGAGGGTCCATGAGTCTTCTCCTGCTCTGCTTTCTGGTGAATACTTACTTCTCAGGTGTACGAAGTGTGCTTTGCTTACCTAGAGCACTCAAGGCCCACACTGCCTTCGACCCACTTCCTAGTCAAAGGGGAGAAAGACACCAGTCTGCTGGCTTTGCCCAAGATAGGCAGGACACCATGGGAGGTTTTCTGAGATGGAAGGAGTCTTGGCTTCTGTTTAGATTTCAGTTTAGTTCTGAAAGCAAAGGGGGACATTTGTCAGTTCTCTATTGGGACCCTCCTTACCCGACTCAGTCCACAAAGGGACTCATCCGCATTTGAGATCCTGACCCAGGGAAGAAAAGGCTTGGTGACAGGCCTATGAAGAGGGTGGGGGTGGGGCACTCAGGAAAGGCTTGCCCTTCCTTATCTGTCCCTCTGGCCCTGTAGACGTGCAGGTACTGTCTAGAACCTGGATCCTCAGACACCATCCACCCTGAGCCACAAACATCTAGTACCATCTAGTATCCAAGATCCCTCACTCAGCAGCCCTCTACCAATGTAATCCCCGAGTGACTTCTGTCTTAGCCAGTTGCAGCATTGGGTTGGGTCAGAGACCCAACAGGACTCATGTTGGGGCTATGGAGTAAGTTTTAGCTAGTGACTACTCTTCCAGCTGCCTTCAGGACTGCCCCATATAGGTCTTAGAAATCCAACTCAGACTTGAGAACCCCAGAAAGGAAGCAGATCTTGCAGTACCCCACGACCGGGCGGCCAGTCACACATTACTCTAGCGGAGCCAATCCCAGGCAGCTAGACAGAAAGGCAGGGCTGCTGTTCAGCTCCCTGGAACCTGCTTCCACTATCTCCAATATTTATGACCCAGCAGCTAAGAAATCCTCAGGAAAACAAAGAAGGAAGTTAATGATTGACTCCCAGTGGAGACCGCCTTCTCAGCTCTACCCTTTTTACCCTAAGATTCCCAGGATCTAAGCACTCGCCCACCAAATCCAGAGATTTCAGACTCACCTGTAAGTACCTCGGAGCACTTACACCTCCGGACTTCGGGCTCAGCTTTACTTCTCATGCAAAATAAGACATCGTTTTCTGTCTTAGGAGAGTACCAAGTTGAAAGATCATTGAAGAATCCTGAGTGTAAAAAAAAAAAAAAAAAAAAAAAAGAATTTTAAGTCTTGGGAAAAAGTATTTTTTTCTTAAGAATTGAGAGATGGGGGAAGAAAGAAGCACATACTCTACAGGGTGCCCATCTCAGCAGCCTGGGCCGAGCAGAAGCTGCTCCTGGAGAAGAGGACACGTGGTCCTCCCTTCAGTCAAAGACAATAGTTGAGTAGGAGAAAGTGAGGCGCAGGGGCTGAAGGAAGCTGGGAAGGAGAGGGGGTGGAATGCCAGTAGAGCCTAGCCACAGACAATAAAGGAGAAACTGGTTTTTCCAAGGCAGGGGTGAGGAGGCGGCAAGGTCTCACTATTTATGCACCTCTCAGCCAAGCTTCTAGTTACCTGCTGAGCCCAGCCAATGGAGAGAGGACCCAGCTGCTGGCTCCACCTCCCAGAGCCACACCTGGGGCAGGGGCGGGCAGGCTTGCTGAGGCCTTTCTGCACCTAACCTTAACCTCTCATTGTTCTGTAAACACCAGAAAAGACAGGCAGGGGTCTCTGTCTGCCCAGAGAGAGCCTGTAGCTTATCTCAGCCTTGGACTGAAAGCTTCAGCCCCACCCCACCCCCAGATTAGAGGGAAAGTGCCTGTTTAAATCTTACCTGGTTCGTGGAGGCCATGCATGTGTGTGTGCCACATGCCTGCACCCATGTGGTGGTGAAGGCAGCAAGAATCAAAGTCTTTTTGCATTTGTAGCAGAACACCCTGCCATCTGTCCATGTGGGGGTGAAGGATGAGGTCTGAGGGTCAGAGCTCTTGTGACCTTGGGGCTTGTCCTGGTTTTATAATCCCAGAGGTCTCCCAGTCTGCTGAGGGCCTCTGTGCTGTGTGAGAGGGAGTTGGGAAGACAGGAGGAACTGAGGAGGAACTGGGGAGGACCCAGCAAACTAATCAAGCTGATTTGTAAGCCATTGTTGGTTCTACCTCCCCACCTTGTTTCACTTCCCCTCGCCCATCCCACCCCTTCTCCCTCTCTACTCCCTTCTCCTCTCCCTCCCTCCCTCACCACCTCTCCTGCTCCCTTCTCCCCAGTTTTCCTGCAGGGCAAGGGATATGAAAGTCTCTCTAAATGAATCCTAGAAGCCACGTGTCTTCTGTTTGTTCTCAAGATAGACCCTTGCCAGGCAAAAGCAGACCTCCTCTCTCAGGAGGGTAAGGGAAAGCAGAATACAGCACGCAGAGCAAGTTGTCCCTTCCCTGTTCCACAGCCCCTCACAGAACCTGTTCCAAATCGTCTTTGCCATCTGCTAACCCCAGCCTCTCAACAGCCGGGGAAGAGGCTGATAAGGCATACAAACAAGGTACACTTCCATAGACAGTGCTGTCAAGATGCATGTCTACCCGGTCTGCTTGACTTCACTGACCTGTGTGAGGGCTCCCAGAATTACCTCCCTGCCATTTTTGGCAGTTCCTGCAGATTGTGTATGGGAGGGTCTGAACCCCTTCTCTATTCCCTCTCCCTTCTCATTCACTCACTCATGGCCTTATTCCAGAGGTGGGAACTCTACATCCTTTGGGTTTTTCTTCTAGGCTCTCCCAACTACATATTCCCTTCATGAACAGTCACAGAGACGGAGCAACAAAATGCATCGAGGATCCACCAAAGGGAATAATCAGCTTCCGTCTCTGAGGGCTGGAGAAGGATCCAGACAGAGAAGGTTCCTTTGAGCTGAGTCTGAGAAGGTAGACCGGAGAGGGCGGGAGCTGTTTGAATTAAACCTCTGCAGCAGGAGACTTCCCAGGGGTCTAGAGCCTCTCTGAGGTATGGAGAGGCAGCCATGGGACAGAAACCCGTGGAAGAACACAGCTCTTCTGGGCGGGGCCTGTGGGTGTTTTCTGTAGGAGGTGGAGTGTCTTGAAACAAGGAATGAATGGCCAGGGCTGTTTCTTAGACTTAGGCATAATGTGACTGACCTCAGAATATGGGGGGAAAAGGGCAGGAGGGCACAAACCAAACACAAACCCCGCTGGTCTCCCATCTTTCCGGGTGTCATCTCTGACCCCTTAATGTGTTGAGAAAATAAACTAAATCTGCATTTGGCTGGGCTCTCCACTCTTCCTTGTTCTTTTCCTCCGTTCACTCACTACAGTAGTAAGGCTGGCCTGTGGACTGGCTGATGCTGGTTTGTTCTAGCGTCTAGAGGGGTGGGAAACACCCAGGGGTAATTCCGCTGGAAGCCACTTGTTTTCTGCTTCCCAGTCTAGCTTTTTCCCCAGAAGCCCTGAGTTTCTTCCTCCGCTAGTACCAGACCCAGGTCTCTAAGAGGCATTCAGTTCCCAGGCACTTTAGGGCCATGCTAGGTAGGTTGAGAATGGAAAAGAATTTTGGGGGTGGGTGAAAGAGGTCCAGGGCTACCTCCTCTCTCCACTTTAGTGTTTCCATAGTAACAGTGATTTGTTCCCTCTTCTTCACCCCAGTCTATTGTTTTGTACTTCACTTTCTTTTTCCCATGTGCTTTCTGTCCCTTGGCCCTCATTTCTCTTTTTCCTGAACACGCCCAAGCCAGAGGTTCTCTACAGTTAGAAATCTTTGGTCCCTGTGTGCCTGGTTCCTGGGAACCTATTGCATTTCTCTGCTGGTTCTTCCAGTTCTGTGCCTTGCTCATAGGAGAGTCTGTATCAGGCCTCTCTGAATCAGTGAATGCTGCTTAGAAGTCCACCTAATTGTGCCACTTCCCTGGTCTGCTTGTACCTGGCATCTTGAAGTTCTGCTAAATCCATGGTAGTTGGTGACCTAAAGGAGAGGCTGTTGGGGTTCAAGGAACCCTCACTATGCTACATTGGGAGAGTACGGGAGGGTTAGCGTGACATGGCATGTTCTCAGGGAACCGCTGTAGACAGCAGGTCATGGCCATGCAGGGCAGGTACTGGGAGGCCATCTCTCACATTGCTCCTCAGGGCTCAGAGTCTGCAGGCAGGCATGCTCATGCTGCTTCCTTCAACCCCAACTGTGTTCTGTCCTGGGACCCAGAAAGGAAACATTAGTTGTAAAGCTGGGAAGATGTGGGTTATCTGTAACATATGAAGGCAGGAAGACAAAACAACAGCCCAAATGGGGTTCTGAGCTTGCACCAAACTTCATAGAGCTCAGCATTGCGACGTGGCTGTGAGAAGAGCAAGGTCTTTCTCTGACGGCACTCTTAGAAATCTGAGACAGGGCTGGGGCGTGGCCTGGTGATAGAGCCCTTGCCTTGCATGCACACAGCCCAAGTTCTATTCCCAGTACTGTGGAAGCAGAGACAAAAGAAAGGAAAGAAGGGATGAGGAAAGGAGGAAAAGCAGAAGGGAAGGAAGGAAAAAAGGAGGGCTCAGGATATAGTTCAATTGGTCAGCTTACATGTTCAAAGTCTTTAGTTCAAACCAGACACACAAAGGTGTGCACACATGCACACCACCTCTAGGGATGTAGCTGAGTATGTAGGAAGGAAGGAAGATGAGACCAAATAATAAAGTGATGGCAGCCCTGATCACCTGGTTAGGGTCATCTTGAGTCTACAGCCTTCAGTTATTACCTTCACATTTTAAGAGCAGAATCAATCAAACCAGAAAGTGAGATTCAAGGGGTAGTTAGTGAGTGGTCTGGGAACAGGCCACCTTGGGGGGTAGATTGAGAAGCTGAGCACTCAGTCGACAGGAGCAGTGACTGGGGAGAGATGAGGGTAGAATATGATGTACTTTTAAAAGTCATAAGCACGTGTCACATAGAAAAGGTTGCTTTGTCCTTTATGGCCTCTCGGGTAGCAAAAGGGAAGTTCATCATGTGTTACCAGATGCTCAGAGGTAGGCACTGAGGCAACCATAGCAACAGATGAGACTGAAGTCCATTCATCTTAGGGCAGACTCTATCTATGGAGCCAGCAGAAGGACAAGCAGTGTCATGAGTACCCACCCTGTCCATGTGGACTCCCACTAGGACTGCAGGACATCCACCTGAACAGTGGCCAAGGGCCTGTACCTCCTCTTCAGTCCTCCTTGAAGGAACTTCCCTGCAGAGCTTTAGCTTCTGAGCATGGGGAAAGCCGTGCAAACAGAAATGGAGATGCGGTGAGTCTCCAGTAGCCAAACCTGCGCTAGTTCCAGAGTCCGCACCACCACCACATACTGACCTCTGTGAGGTCTGAGAGCCAGCATTACACCGCAGACTGCAGTCAGCAGGGCTCTCTTCACTGCATGAGAGCGGCTCCTTTCAAAGGAAGGCTCCACACTCCCAGGACCTTTGAGGTGCAGGACAGGAGAAAAACATTTGTAGGGATAAGAGGTTTGGATGAAGCTCACCAGGACACCTGCAGTCTTCCTTACTGTTCTTGCCCTTCATGCCCCTGCTCCCTCTAGTCCAGTGTGCACCAGAGGCCAGGATTCATTGGAGGTATGGCCTGATGCTTTCCTGCTACGAGGAATCCTCTGCCTCCAGGGTGAGGTTGCAGGCCCTCATTTCCTGAGATAGGCTTGTTCTCTGCAGAGTGCAGGAGGAGGGAGACAGGCTGGAGCCTGCCCTGTTTACACTTTCTTTTCTGGTCCTTTCCTTACAAGCCATCCTGGCTTTGCAGCTTAGAAGGACCCAGTAAGACCACCCACCCTTGCTGATGACAGAGAGGGGCCTACCAGGCCTCGGAGCCCTTCAAGGTAGAGCCAGTTGGGATTACTCTATTCTGGATGCCCTCTGCTTTTTATTGTTCCCTCATCTACAGTATTGCAGGTGTGCTTGCCAGGCCACTGTGGAGCTGCACCGTGGAGCTGCACCGTGGAGCTGCACTGTGGAGCTGCACTGTGGAGCTGCACCGTGGAGCTGCACCGTGGAGCTGCACTGTGGAGCTGCACCGTGGAGCTGCGTTCCTAGCTCTCCTTGGTACTTCTCATTTAGAGACAGGGACAGGCTAAGATGCTCAGGCTGACCTTGAACTTGCGCTTCTCTTGCCTGTGCAGTCACAAGTGCTTGGATTATAGATCTGCACCCAACAATAGCTCTTTGTCCAA